TAATTCCGAACCCTCTATCGGAATAATACACACGATCGCCCCAATCGAACGCCTGGAGCCCGAGTTATGGGCCCCCGAAGTTCGAACGCAATATCTCTCTATTCGGGAATTGGCCGGCCAATCCGGTTGGATTTCTGATTTGTGCCCTTCAAAATAAAGTGTTTAAAAAAAAATCGCCCCGATCGGACCCCCGAGGCCGTACTTATGACCTCTCGAGTTTCCCGTACCCTCGAAATTCCCCTAAATCATCTCAAACCTAACGGAATTGGACAACATGGACCGCGTATTCTCGTAGATCTCGATTTTCCGTGTGAAAACGAGTACTCACACTAATTGAGGACATTCGTATTTTTTATTCTATGATCATTTACAACTTTCGTTTTCCTATAAAGTTGCATACCGCACGCCTATGGGTCAGCGTTTTACATACTTACAATTTTTTCCCAAATTTTTTTTAATACATACAACGCTGTCTGGGACAACGTTTTAGGTACTAATTTATATTTTTTTTTGGAAATTTTAATTTCAGAAATTATGTTTTAAAAAAAAAATAATAATCAATATATAAACGCTGTCCCAGACAGTGTTTTATATGTTGATTAGTTTTTCAAAATAAATAAGGGGATAAAACGGTGTCCCAGAAGCTTAGTTTGGTAAATAATTTTACCACGCGTCTACTTTAAAAATGAGTTTCGTAATTAAGCTTAGTTTGCTAAAAGATCCGGTGAAATAAAACATAGTAAAATAAAACATAGTATCCGGTGAATAGGACACATAGTATCCGGTGAAATAAAACATAGTAATTAAGCTTAGTTTGATTTTTTGTTTTTGTTTATGTTTTTCATTTTTTAGTTTGTTGTTTATATTTTTTGTTTTAGGACACATCGCTACCCGTATTTGGGAGGACCAGGAGAGGGCTTTGGATACAGGCATTTTGAAATGCCAAACCCGGGAAAAGACTTGTTGGTTTTTGTGTAGCTGGGCTGATGCTTGGCCGGAGGAGAGCGAGATGGTCGGGCGATTGAGGGGCACTAGAGTGAGTCACCTTCCTGCAATCATGCACGACAGGATTGACTGGACGCTGATCACGGCTTTCGTTGAGCGATGGCAGCCGGATACGAACTCGTTCCACCTTCCGTTCGGTGAGATGACGATCATGTTGCATGACGTCGAGGCCATCCTTGGGATTCCCGTGGAGGGAAACCGAGCATCTGTCGTCACTGATGCGGATCAGGCAGATTTACTAGCGGAGCTGTTGGCGGTGGATAGGGCTGCGCTGTACACATCGACACTTGGTGTGTGGGATCACGGCGGCGTTAAGATCGCAGCCGTCTTGCAGCGATGTTTGCACCCTACGGCACGTAGGACGCAGGACACACAGCTGGCTGCATATGTTTTTCTTCTTCTCGGGTGTACCTTGTTTCCGGATAAGAGCGGGAACAAGCTCAGGCCACGCGACATAGTTGACGCGTGTGAGCACGACAGAGTAGGCCAGTTTTCTTGGGGGTCGGCTACGCTGGCGTATCTGTATCGCCAGTTAGGATTCTCGAGCCGGGCTGATGCAGCAGGTATCACTGGATGTCTGACGTTGTTACAGACCTGGATATACGAGTATTTTCCTGCGTTTCGACCACACCGCGACCCGGTTCCCATTGGTGATGGCCAGCCACGTGCCTGTGCGTGGAGTCCGCGTGTCGAGAAGAAGTCCGTTGACCGCCTGCGCTCCATACGGTTATCGCTTGACAGGATGTCCCCCTTAGAGGTACAGTGATTAAATTATTTCTACTTTTACAATCTGATGCTTTATTTTATGACTGTTACTGATTTTAAATAATGTGCAGGTGAACTGGATGCCTTTCGGCCAGAACCCTAGTAATAGGGTACCCAGGACCCTCTACACCGGACTGATTCAGTATCGCGAGATCGTAGAGGCGTACATGCCGCAGCGCTGTCTTCGCCAGCTTGGATTTGTCCAAGTTGTCCCACCTCCACCGGCATGGCCCAGTAAGGCGGTACGATCTGCGTCGTCGAAGGAGTACGTCGTCCAATGGCCGGCAAACATGATATCCATGTGGGAGCAGTTTCCGATGGTTGCCCGCCTATGGACGGCGGAGCTGCAGCGGCCGCCAAGTGGGGTGACTGCCATGTGTGACCAGCACTACATGGAATGGTACATCCGGCACTCGCACCCGAGGTTGATCAAAGACATCGACGACGCAGATGATGACGATGTGCCACCTGCCACTGCCTCTTATGCGGTACGTCTCATCTTTTATTTGTTGTTCTCTTATTTTAATATATATATGTATAATACGTCGTTTCATGTTTTTTGTTTTGTGTAGTGGATGGGCAAGATTATGCAGTTGGGACACCGACTTTTTGAGGAAAGGGACTGCATGACGAGTGCATCAGGCAGAGCTGTTATTGACGATCTGGAACGGACCCTTGAGCAGTGGCAGTGGGCGTCACAGAGGGATTACTGATATTTGAAATTAGACATTATCTTTTTAGTTTGTAATATTTGAAATTATTGTTCTTAGTTTTTAAAATTCAATATTATCTTTTTAGTTTGTAATATTGTGAAATTATTGTTGTTAGTTTTTAAAATGAAACATTATCTTTTAAAAATGAACACATAGAAATGACATAGTATTGACAATACAAGGCCTCATAGTAAAAGGTAGGTGTACATCAACAAAAACTACATGGCAATTAAATTGTTCCACTGTTGCACGCGAGCATGGTACAAAGCATCCCAACCCTCCACGCTTGCTCTACGAATTTCATACCACTTCGGTATGATATGTGGGACCGGAAAATCGGGTGACATGTCTAATCGGATAAAATGTCTGTATGACGGCCCAAGAAATCCAATAGCAACGTCCCTTACCGGTCTGGTGACGGTCTCGCGCGAACACCAGGGCAGAACCGTTGTACATGGATAATAGGCTCGACTATGTAAACCAAGGCCGAAATGCATGACTGCACACTTGTAGATGTTTGCAACGACAAAGAGATCAAGTGGCGCATCGAACCAATGATTTTGATCGCAAGGTCCCCCTCCCCACCGGATACGCTGCAGAGACCTATCCAAGTCCTCGCCGTACACATGGCCATACACATCTCGGTTTGATGCGATTTCACTGTACATCAACTGCCGCACTAAACCGTAGTTGTCTTCACCCATTTGAAACACATCCGCCACAACCCGAAATCCGCAGTTACCATCTGCAATGACATCATTCCACCCGTCCAAGAATGGCATCATGATATTAGGGATCCTGTCCTTATATGGAAAATGTTCAATGTCCATTCTCCCTGTTACACACATCAATAAACACAATAAACAAGTCAACAGTAAACTAATCAAACAGTCAACAAAAGACCTCCCTCACAATCACTTACGATGGCCGATGGCTGTACATTTGGGCCGATGTAGTTTCTCAACTTTTCCAACACCCAACGGTAACTCGCAGCCGTCTCATCCTTCATGACTGCATAACCAATCAGAAAGTTCTGGTTCGTTGGAGCCATCCCAACCATCTCAACCAGTGGGAACTTGTACTTGTTTGTCTTGTACGTTGAATCGATCAAAATCACAGATGGCCAAGACGAAATCATATCAGCACAATCAGGATGGACAAGGAACAAATGAGTTACCTCCGATGTGTCTTCGTCAGATTCAAACCAGTAAAGGTAACCACGTGCTTGTGCCTGGTGCAGAAGCTGCTGTATAGGGTTCCTTCCCTCTGACCGTTCAAACCTCAATTTCTGTCTGACGTTGTAGATGTGTTTTCGGTTTGGCTGGTCTTCGGGGAATTTCTCTAACACAGACGCTAATATTTTAGCGGGCTTCACTTGAGCATCACTCATTTCTTTTACAACTAGTTTCGCAGCTGGACTTAGGCCGCTTAACTGCCGATGCCCCACTTTGTATGCTATCAGCTCATGGTTGTGATATCCCCATTTGCCGTAACCCTTCACTTCCCAACCGTCACGCCTTTGATGTTGTCGAACCTTAACTCGGAACTGACACCCACAACCTTTCCGCTTTGAGTCAAACCGAATCGCTTTACTGAAATCTCGTTCTTCTCTTTTGCGATAACGGTCACATCTCAAAATGCGATCCATTCTACCATCCCGTTGAGATTTATGAGTTGCTACTACTAAACAAAAGCCTGATCTAATTGCAACCTGTTTTGCCCAATCAATCGCTTGTTGAGCATCTTCGAACAGGCCATCATGTACAAAAATCCTACTGTAATCATTTCCGTCTCCACCATAATCCTGTAACAATAACATATAACGTATAAATATAATTACATTAAGATTAAATTAATACACTTAACACAAAATTATCACAAACGCAATTTCTAAATTTTAAATTTCTAAATATCATTTTTATATTTAACGCATAATACATTTAAAAAACAAAATAATAACACACATTTCATTTCAAATTTATCAAACATAAATAAACAAACAAAAAAAACCATAATAAAAAAAATAAACAAATACAAAACAAAATAAAACAAAATAAAAAAAAAAAAAAAAATTAAAAATATATTCCCCTAGTGGCGCCTGGCCAGGACGCCGGAGCCACGGCCGGGGCGCCTGGTCAGGACGCCGCCGCCATGGTGGCGGCGTCCTGGCCGGGCGCCCTGGCCGTGGCTCCGGCGTCCTGGCCACGCGCCACTACCATGGTCGAGGCTTCTCCACCAGGCGCCGTTACCACGGTGGCGGCGTCCTGGCTAGGCGCCACAACCACGACATGGCCTTTTGGCTAGGCGCCAGCCACCATTTCGTCCTTACGATGCGTTACGAACCTCGTTTTCCGATGACGACGGCGATTCTCCGGTGATCCTCGGCGATCCGGTGCTGCTCCACATTTTTTTAGTGCGAAAAATTTATCTTCGGTTAAAATTATAAAAAGGGCAAATTTGTCAAAAAATTATAAAATGTGGGCTTTATGTAGAGATTTGCGGGCGATGAATAACAAGTCCCATAAAAATCTGGAGGGAGTAGTGTACTGTTACTAAAACAGACCATCGAATACCTCGCTCACTTGCTAGATTTCCGGCGAGATTGAGGTGGAGGAAGAGTTCTCTGGCGAAATTGAAGTGGCAGTTGTATCTTTGACGGTGGCTTTTGTAGTGTCCGCCATTAAAGCATTTACAGAGAGAGACGTGTACACTCCATTGAATTGAAGCGACTTCTGAGCTTTCTCTCCTCCATTGAAGCAGCATTTGAGGTACGATGTTTATTTTTTTCTCCTTCTCTTATTCATGGATTGTTAACTTCACATCATCGTTAGTTTAATTGTCAAACAACGCAAAAGAGTTACTTTCTCTCTCTACAAAACCCTCACCGCCGCTTCGTCCACCGCCTTCCTCCCATTCTCTGTTTTCTCGTAGCCGTCGCCGGCGACCGGCACTTCTTCTCCTAGCCGTCGCCGGCGAGGCGAGGCTGGTAGACAGTCCTCTATAGTTTCTTTGATTCGCTGATTCGCTTCACCTCTTTCAAAGTGCGACTGACGAGGAAGATCGTTCTGAAGCAGTGCTGTCCACTCTGTATCTAGGTGTTACGTTCCCTTTCCCGTTGTTTACTGCTCAATTCATTTTCGTTTTCTTTTTAATTTCGTTTCTTTTGGTTTAGATTTCTTTGTCAAATTTATGCCTTTTTGTCCTTCTCTGCTTGCTATTTCCTTTGGCTTAGGTTGTGCATGCTCTAGTTTTAACTTTTGGTCTTCTTCAACCTTTTAAGGTGTTATCTCCTGGTTTTTTTTTTACCCTGGTTTATTTTGGGATTGTTTTAGAGTTTCGGAGTTATTTGTTTTCCAGGTTAGTTCTTTGAGCTTTTGTTTTGTAGAAGCTGATGAGATGATGTGTTGGGTGGAATTTCCTTTTTTCTTTGGTTGTTAGTTGTTCTTGTTTAGGTGCCCTGCTTTTAGTTTGTTTCTAGTTCTAATTATGGAGTTCTAGATCTCCAAAAAACAAGCCGTTTTAAGAAAAAATTGCCCCAATCGGACGCCTAGAGCTCGAGTTATGGGCCCCCAAAGTTTGGACGCAATCTCTCTATCTGGGAATTAGGCGACAGATCCGGTTGGATTTCTGATTTGTGCCCTTCAAATTAGGTGTTTCAAAAAGAAAAATAATCGCCTTGATCGGATCCCCGAGGCCCTCCCGAGTTTCCCATACCCTCGAAATTCCCCTTAATCATCTCAAACCCGACGGAATTGGACGACGTGGACTGCGCATTCTCGTAGATCTTGATTTTCTGGTAAAAACGAGTACTCACACTAATTGAGGGCATTCGTATTTTTTATTCTATGATCATTTACAGCTTTCGTTTTCCTATAAAGTTGCAAACCGCACGCCTATAGGTCAGCGTTTTACATACTTACAATTTTTTTTCCCAAATTTTATTTAGTTCATAAAACGCTGTCCTAGCTGTCTGGGACAACGATTTATGTACTCATTTTTTTTTTTTGGAAATTTTAATTTCAGAAATTATGTTTTTTTGTTTAAAAAAAAAATAATCAATATACCTTAGTAGCTTAGTTTGTTAAATAGTTTTGGTACGTGTCTACTTTAAAAATTAGTTTCGTAATTAAGCTTAATTTGGTAAAAGATCGAATATTCTCACGATGACGGACCTACATGTAGTCATCGTGGATCCCAGGACACAGTATTATTTTATTTTATTTTATAAAAAAAATAAATAAATTATTTTCTGATCTTATTTTCTTTTCCCCCCTTTAGATCTATTTCACGCTTTCTCGCTGTACTCCTTCTTCTCTCTCTCCTCCATTGAAGCGTACTCGAAATTCTCCATTGAAGCGGCTTCTGAGCTTTCTCTCCTCCATTGAAGCAGTCTCTAAGGTTAGATGCTTCTTTTTCTTTAATCATCTAATATTAATTTTGGCAATCTAGTGTTAATCGTGTATTTAATTGTCAGTATATACTCAATTTAGGGTTCTTCGACGCTGGATAATTGAACTATTGGTTATAGATATTCGAAGAATTTAACGTAATTTTTGGAGTCTAGTTTGATGATTGAGTCAATTTTGGTTGCTAATGTGTTGCAGGGTTTGGTTTGTGTAACTCTTTAATGTCAGGATGAAACCTTGAAAACACAAATTCACAAATTCCGAGGGGTGGGGGAATGGTTTCAGGGGTAGGGGTTTCGAGTCTAGCGGTTTCGGGTCAGGGAAAGGGGTGGGGGTTTCGGGGTGGGGAAAGGGATGGGAATTTAGGGTGGTTTCGGGCTGCGGAATTCAAGTTTTGGGCGGTTTCGTTGGTGGGGCTGAGGTGGGGGGTCTATTGCGCTCATGTGGCTCTGGAAGGAGGGTGGTTTCGGTGGTGGTGCAGGGGGAGGGAGTGGCTGTCGGGCTGGGTGGGGAATTGTTTAATTAATTTTTTTGATTTAGGGTTTTTGAATTTTAATTAGATAATTGAATTTATTTTAAGATTTTGGGGTTTCATTGTTGTATTATCGAAGTTAATATGTTGGATTTTAGGGATTTTTGAATTCAAATCAAATGAGTTAGCAATTTAATTTTTTGTTTGAATTTAAATTTTATTCATTTGTAATTTTATGTAATTGAGATATGTTTACTTGTTGTTTGAATTGGTATACGGGTGGGGATGTTGTTTACATGTTGTTATTCGAATTGGTGTTGGGTTGTTGTTTACTTGTTGTTTGAATTGGTTTTGAGGTGTTGTTGGATTGTTGTTGTTTGAATTGTTGTTTGAATTGGTCTTGGTATTGTTGTTGTACTTGGATTGAATTGAATTGTTTGAGTTGGATTGAATTGAATTGTTTGAGTTGGATTAATTTGATAAAAATTGTACTACTTTTGGATTGTAATATAAATTTTTAAGTAATATTTGGTTGCAACATATATTCATGTGTTCTATTGTACTGTAATATGAATTTTTAAAAAATTTGGAATAAAATCAATTAAGAACTAGACCCTAAAATTTTTTGGTGACCCACCATCCTAGCAATCTTGGATCCGCCACTGGATCCCCATTGTAAAATAAAACTTAGTATCCGGTGAAATGAAACTAGTAATAAAATTGAACAAGCAATAAAAATCTGGAGGGAGTAGTTTTCGGTCTTTTCACTACCTAGATTGTACTGTTACTAAAACAGACCATCGAATACCTTGCTCACTTCCTAGATTTCCGGCGAGATTGAGGTGGATGAAGAGTTTTCCGGCGAAATTGAAGTGGCGGCTGTATCTTTGACAGTGGCTTTTGTAGTGTCCGTCATTAAGCCATTGAATTGAAGCGACTTCTGAGCTTTCTCTCCTCCATTGAAGCAGCATTTAAGGTACGATGTTAATTTTTTTCTCCTTCTCTTATTCATTGATTATTAATTTCACATCATCGTTAGTTTAATTGTCAAACAACGCAAAAGAGCTACTTTCTCTCTCTATAAAACCCTTACCGCCACTTCGTCCACCGCCTTCCTCCCATTCTCTGTTTTCTCCTAGCCGTTGCCGGTGACTGGCACTTCTTCTCCTTGCCGTCGCCGGCGAGGCGAGGCTGGTAGCCGGTACTTTATAGTTTCTTTGATTCGCTGTTTCGCTTCACCTCTTTCAAAGTGCGGCTGACGAGGAAGATCATTCTGAAGCAGCGTTGTCCACTCTGTATCTAGGTGTTACGTTCCCTTTCCCGTTGTTTACTGCTTAATTCATTTTCGTTTTCTTTTTAATTTCGTTACTTTTGGTTTAGATTTCTTTGTCAAATTTATGCTTTTTATTTTCCTTCTCTGCATGCTATTTCCTTTGGGTTAGGTTGTGCCTGCTCTAGTTTTTACTTTTGGTTTTCTTCTGCCTTTTAAGGTGTTGTCTCCTAGTTTTTTTTTTTTTTTACCTTGGTTTATTTTGGGATTGTTTTAGAGTTTCGGAGTTATTTGCTTTTTAGAAGCTGATGAGATGATGTGTTAGGTGGAATTTCCTTTTTCCTTTGGTTGTTAGTTGTTCTTGTTTAGTTGCCCTGCTCTTAGTTTGTTTCTAGTTCTGATTATGGAGTTATTTCCTGCCTTCATTTTTTTTTTCATCTTCCGGATGATTAATGATGAAAGTATCATCCACTTTCTCTCCTCTATGGATAAACCCAGTGATGTTGTAGTTTGTTACTTGTAGTTCAAGGAACAAGGGAACTCTGTTCAATTTAAACTTGCCTTTTCCAAGTATGAGTTGGCTAGTAAATTGTTGTGTTTTACTATGCCGTGTTCCATGGAAGCTTTTTCTTCGTGTCGATTATTGGCTTTTGCTTTGCATCTTAATCTATAGGAGGGCTTCTGCGTATCAAGAATTGGGCAAGCTTCGTTCTGCTTGAAAGGATCTGGTTAAGGCTACTAAAGTGATCCTACTACTCCCAAGGTGGTAACAAAATTGCATTGTGTTGAAGGTTTGTCACAAGATGTGTCGTTAGTCGACAAAAAATAGAGGGGTTGAGTCGACTTCCCAAGTTCCCAATGTTCTGTGGAAGTGGCTGCTCCAATTGCTGTTTTTCAGTGTAGTGGTTTAAGTTTAGTGGTGATAAAGAATGTAATTTCCCACCACCGGAGAGTGTTGATATGGAATGTGATTTCCAATCAAACTCGGTTGGTAATGACAGGGATTGTAAGTCTTTCCCACCTCCTCGTATGCACGAGTTTGTTTCTCGACATGGCTCGAGTACATTCCTTCAGCTTTCTTCTTCAAATTTACAGTAGGTTATGCAAGGCAAGGTCATTCAGTTCTACCATTCTAAGTCTATGTCGTTAATTTCAGTTCGGATTCATCCCAGTAAAACTTCTATCTAAATAGAGGTCCCCCATGGGGAAGCAAAGACCTCTATTCCCACTTCAGTTAAGTCCCCCCGGCGTTGGTTCACTTTAGAGTTCCTGTCACCTCCCATTTTGCATTCCACCTATGCTCCGGTTTTGCAGTCTTATCCGAAGGAGGTGATCACCTCTACTACGACAGAATAGAGGTCTCCCACGATGTGAAGTCAAGTGTAGTGATGTTCCCTACCGTTACTTCACAAAAGGTATTATGTGATGAGAAACGGCGGACGGTGCCCATTCCAGAGTATGGCCGGTTCCCATTTTGAGCAGTCCTTAGGTGCTCTAGGGACGCACAACGATTTGGAGTGCATGACTGCCCTTTCTGATTTTGACAGTCATATGGGAGAGATGAATTCGCAGGACTTTGTGTTCTAGGTTTTCAGTTCTCCACTTTGCAGCCAAGTCTTCGGGCAACCACTTCGCCATCAACAATCTATTTATCATCCTCGGTTTAGGAAAATGAGTTCTTTGGTATATCAACCTAGATCATTTTTAGGATGCCAAGTGGTTCGTGTGGGTGCAAAGCGTTGTCGTGGGCCTAGTGTGGCTTCAAGTACTCCAACTTGGCTCGAATAAAGTTTGCTCGCAAGGTTCTTTTTGGGTTTGCATAGTGTAGTTTGTTGGTTGCCTTTATTTTCTGTATTTCTTTATTAGTACTTATTGTAAAAAAAATAAAAAATAAAAAAATTTGCCAGTGTAGTCAATTTAAGGTTATTCTGATGTGGATTATTGAACTTTATGAACATCATCGTTAGTTTAATTGTTAGTTTAATTTTCTTCCTCTTTGTTTCTTTTCTGTCGAAGCTATCTACCATTGCGTCACATACAAAGCTTTACCAAATTGATTTTTGTTGAACTGTAATTTTTATGATTGTCATTTGGTTGTGAATTTTCCTTAGCGATGGAGGCGGCACCGGAAGCGAATGTCACAGTGACAATGAGAGAGCAAGGGATGGTGGAGTCTAAAGTCTTTAGCATCTACCAACATTTCAAAGATCTCCCAAGGAGAGCTCAAACTGTCATGTATTCTTTAATTCTTTGCTATTTTATTTATTTATTTATTTTTCTATCTTTATCTTTGTATAAAGTATATTTTATTTGTTCTGATTCTCAATTGCTTATTGCCTCTTTTAAAGGATGGAAATTGCGAGCGATAAGCACGCCGAGTATCTCACCAATGGCCTCAAATGGCTTCCTGCTTCGTTCTGTGTTCTTGATGCCAAGTGTGTTTTCTTTTTCTTCTTGATACTTATGCACTTTTAAGTTTTAAATGTTAAGTTTAGATGGGTATGGAGTTAGAGTTAAGATAAGTTATGCTAATAATTCAAGATACGGTCTTGTTTTTTAAGTAATGATTTGAGGTCTAAGGTTTGATGAAATATGGCTGTTTGGCTGAGTACTCCATAGTGTTTAAGGTGGTGGTTAGTCGTAAAAGTAGTGTTTAAACTTTTCTTGTTATGTTTGAACTTTGAAGTGGCAGTGCTGCTTGAAAATAATATCCGTAGTATCAAAATTGAACTTGAATAAAAAATCTCCATAAACTTAGTCTTGGTTCTTCTCCTAAGTTGCCTCCCTTTGCAAAATTGTAGGTATATAAAATTGAAAAGCAAGGTACCCATTGAAGCAAGTACGATTTGGGTATAGGTGACATTGCATAGGAATCATGTGGCAAGTAGGAGATAATGGCCAAATCCCACAACTGTTAATTGGTTTTACATTACATGGGAAGATTTTGCCACATAAAAAATTATCGTACTGTAAATTCTATGTCAACATACATGGAGGATGAAAGTTAACATACGATGGTAAAAATAACACACATATATTATGAAGTTTACAAATTCAACTTCTAATTTACCAAACACTCATATTTTGAATCGCTAGTTTTATTGCTCACCGTCACGCTAGCATCATATAGTATAATCTACTCTCGTAGCTTAAAAAGACCACAACTTCTAATTTAAAAGAATGAAGCCGAAATGGTTAATGTCTTGGAAAAAACGTGGTCACATTGCTTCTATGGTCTTAGGAGCTACTAGCACGGACCAACAAAATAAACGACGTATTATAGACTACAGAGATTATCGCTTACAACGAAAAATTTACGAGAGTTACTCAAACCTTCATCATCCTTCTTCCACATCCCACAATCTCATCCAATGGCCCCACCTATGGAAAGTTTTGAAAGATGATACCTTTGTTGTGCAGTCGACCATGGCTTTGCTATTGGATCCTTCATTCACTTGCACTTTTGGGTGAATCTTTTGATGACAACTTGGAGCGTGATGTTGATTTCCTCAGTCAGTGCCAGGTTTGGTTTCATTTCATCTCATTCTTGTTCATTCAATTTGTTACATAGTTTGGGAGCTTTTTAACCGATGATGGTGGTGTAACTTAACAAATTGTAACTTTTCAAAAACACTGTATAGTTTATGCAAGATTTACTTTTTCACTCTTAGATGTAGGGTGATTGTGTAAGCATACACTTTTTAATTAAGTATAATATCTTGATAAGTTTTTGACTTTTCGTATTATTGTTATTATTATTATTACTGGATGGAAGCTCGTGCTGATTAGGGGATTTTTATCCACCAATCACCGTCTGACAAGTGGACCAACCAGGTTCCGCCACGTGTCCTTCACGAAGGCCAACAGGAGCCTGCCACGTGTCAATCACAGATACGTCCTCCATGGACCACTTAAGACACGCCACGTGTCCACCCATGCCAAATGGGACAACCGGCCATCAAGGCCCATTTCAGTCTAGAGGCCCGATCAGCCCTAGGTTTACCTTAAACCTAGAGAGTTGCACGCTTCCCAAGGCTATAAATACTCGATTAATCCTCATTAATCAAGGAAGACCGAATAATTAAGAGATCAAGCAGAGAAGAACAGAGTTATTAACAACCGACTAATCTCGCTAACAACACAGATTACCAACACTAAGCACTCTCACCTAGAGAGATCTCATTACTTTAATTTCTGTATTGATTACTCCTTAATCGGGTACTAACTTGACCGTTGGAGGCGGAGCTCTCAGGAGTCTCCGTTATTTTGCAGGTACAGGCGTCCGGTTCCAGTCTCGGAATTGTAACTCTCCCGCAGGACATCAGAAAACCCCGAAACATTTGGCGCCGTCTGTGGGGAGAGTACTTCAGAGATGGCATCCAAGTCTGTACCGACTCCAGAAGAGAGGCGTCCCCTAGACGACCCTCAAGTTCAGTCGGACCATGATACCGAAAGTGAATTTGAAGTTGAAACTCATACAGCTCCAGACGAGACCCTAAGGGCCCGACGTACCCGTCATACCGAAATGAGGGAACGGGAGTATCTTCAAACAGGAAGCGAGCCAGCAGGCGCACCGCTTGCTCGGCAACAGCCGACTGATGGGTCTGCTCCCATCACAAGGAACGAACTCATGACCTTCATGAGGGATTTCAAGGGAGAGATCCAAGAGTTGATCAACAAAAAACCGCCTGCTTCAGTCAAAGAGCAGTCGGCCAAGAAACCTTCCACTTCACTAAAGAGGAAGTCAGTTCAAGGGCGAGAGGCGACTCCCCATCCTAAATTCAAGAAGCGGGAGCCGTCTGCTCTTGATTTCACAAAACTCCGTTATCCTACGGGAAATAGGAAACCGGTTCGTCATATTCAGGCGGACGGGTCAAAGCAAACGTTCACAGATGCTCGGCACCTGCTAGAGCAGAAGAAGAGTGACCGATTATCAGAGTCGGCTTCTACTTCAAATTTTCAGGACAGTTTGCGAAATGCCTCGATGAGGCCAACTCAGTCGTACCATGAGAGTCAGTCAGGCGGCACCTCCCGTCAGTCTGACTTTCATAGTGCCCAGGCGGTACCAAACTTACCATTTGTGCCGCAACAACAGTATTTTATGCAGCCACCTCCATTTGGTGGACCTGCAGCAAAAAACGTCCAACCTATGGACTGGCAGCTACGGCTGCTTAGACTTGGTGAACAGCCGACGGCCTTCTCCAAGGAAATTACTGAAGCCGCTCAGCCGGCCAAAGTAAAAAATATTCTAGTAGGCGCCTATGACGGCACTACTAACCCAGAAGACCATCTGATGGCATTCACCAACCTGATGTACCTTCAAGGGTTGGATGATCCCACTTGGTGCAAGTGTTTCCCAGCGACTCTCAAGGGAATTGCACAGCAATGGTTCGGCAACCTGCCGACTGGTTGTGTAAACAGCTTCAGGACACTTGCTTACTTATTTGCCTCCAATTTCGCTATGAACATCCCTGCGAAGAAAACGACCCTTGATTTGGGAACAATTCAGCAGGGCGAGAAAGAGGGGCTTCGTTCCTACATCAGGCGGTTCAACCTGATGAGAATACAGATTCAAGGGTTACCGGATGAGGTAGCTTATACTGACTTTTTTAGAGGTCTCAAAGACGGGTCTACCTTCAAATTTGATTTAGTTCGAAAAAGGGTGGCGACTCTTCAAGAGGCCTTGATTGAAGCAGAAGCCTATATACAGGCGACTGATCTGTGTACGATGAAACAGTCGGAAGGGAAGAGGTTCGACAATAGAGAAGGACGACAGAAACAGTCGTCCAACAAAGATGAAAAAAGAAAAGAGGTCTGGCCGGCTGTTCTCTAAACAGCCGGCCCAGAAAAAGAAAAAAGAATTCAAACCATACTCCCCAAAGTATGTGTTTAACAAGGATAACCAGTTTATCCTAAAAGAAATAAAGGGACGGCTCTCAATTGAGAAGCCGCTCCCCATGAAGGGTTCTGCGAGCAACCGGAACCAAGACAAAATCTGTGCTTATCATGATGACATTGGTCATCACACCAATGACTGCATCAGTCTCATGCGGTACCTAGACCGCTTGGCTGATCAAGGTGATCTTGACACTTATGTCAAGAAATCTACGGGGAATACTTCCTCAAAAAAGCAGTCGGCCAAAAAGAATCAACAGGCCGACAGTTCCGATACAGATGATGCAGTCGTCTACACCATTGCAGGCGGCTTCTCAGGAGGCGGCCCCACTATTAGGGGCAACAAAGATAATATAAGGCGGTTAGATGTAAATTCCGTTCACCAAGAACGGCCGTCTAAATATACATTTCCTGAGATTGTCATCACTGAAGAGGATCTAGGAGGGGTAAGGGGGCCGCATGACGACCCTCTCGTTATTGAATGTAAAGTGGCCAACCAGAGAGTTGGTCGAATCCTCATAGATACCGGGAGCTCTTCAGATCTCATCAGCAGCAAATGTCTGTCAAAACTGAAATATCAGACGGACTGCATACATCCGGCCTCCCACCCTTTAATAGGTTTTGGAGGAGGAGTCGTCCACCCACTGGGACGAGTAGATCTACCCATCCGCCTGGGCGAAAAAGGGGAAGGACGACACATGGTAGTCCGGTTCCTAGTGGTAGAGGAACTCTCGGCCTACAACATGATTCTGGGTCGACCAACCCTGAATAATTCCAAGGCTGTTATAATCCCGTCACTTATGCTGCTTAAGTTTGAAAGGGACAATGGAACAGTCGGCTCCCTAAGGGGAGATCAGAGGATGGCCCGAGAGTGCTATCTCTCGGATGTCAAGCCCACTGTTATGGCCACTGGGTCAAGTGGAGAAAAAACAGACCTTGACAATGTCAAGGAAAGTGCGCCTGTTCAAGAAACAGGCAACAAAAAGAGAAAGGCACCCCAGACTGAGTCCGCAAGAAAAGCAAGAAAATAGCAATCATTGGCAGAGGACCGGCCGGATGAGTTCCGCCCTCAGCCGGCTGGTGAGCATGCGGACCTGATATTAGACGACTCCCATCCTGACCGAACAGTCAAAGTAGGGACGACTGCTCTGAGAAACCTTGGGGACGACTTTCACAACCTGTTGAAAGAATACAAGGACATCTTTGCATTTGAAGTCCATGAAATGCCAGGCATTAGTCCTGATCTGGCAGTACACAAACTCGCTGTGGATCCGAAAAAAGAAGCCGGTACGACAAAAGAAACGGAACCATGGTGAAGAAAGAGGTCAGGCGGCAGCCGCCGAAGTCAAAAAATTACTTGATGCAGGTTTCATTCGGCAATGTTACTTCCCAGATTGGGTTGCAAATGTGGTGCTTGTTAAAAAGCCGAATGGCACCTGGCGAATGTGTGTAGACTACACAGACTTAAACAAGGCGTGCCCCAAAGACAGTTACCCTCTGCCTAAAATTGATAACCTGGTCGACTCAACAGCCGGCCATGCCTTGATGAGTTTTATGGACGCCTATTCTGGTTTTCATCAAATTCCTTTATGGAAGAAAGATCAGGAGAAGACGGCCTTCGTCACTGATCAGGGATTATACTGTTACACGGTCATGCCGTTTGGTCTTAAGAATGCCCCGGCTACCTTCCAACGAATGATAAACACAGTGTTCTTTGATCAGATTGGGAGAAACGTCGAGGCATACATTGATGATATGATTGTCAAGACTAAACTTCAGAAAGATCATCTGACGGATCTCCGAGAAACTTTCGCCACACTCAGGCGGCACCATGTCATGCTCAATCCCAAGAAATGTGTATTTGGAGTTGAGTCTGGGAAATTTCTCGGATTCCTTATCAACCAGAGAGGAATAGAGGCGAACCCCGAGAAGGTACAGGCGGTCATTGACATGCAGTCGCCTCGTACCGTCCGAGAGGTTCAGAAGTTAACAGGTTGTCTGGCGGCCTTAGGAAGATTTCTAAGCCGATCAGGCGACAAATGCCTATACTTTTTCCAGGCAATTAAGAAAAAGGCAAGGTTTGAATGGGGGCCGGATGCTGAGGCCGCCTTCCAGAAATTAAAGGTTCACTTGCATTCCTTGCCGAGGCTGGTCAGCCCTTTGCCCAAAGAAAATCTGTACATGTACCTGGCCGTCTCTGATCATGCGTTAAGCGCGGTGCTCCTTGCTGAAAGGGACGGCTGTCAACTTCCGGTCTACTTTGTCAGTCACGTACTGAAAAATGCCGAGTTGAGGTATCCCCTAGTGGAGAAATTTGGTCTTGCACTCTTCATGGCTGTTAAAAAATTGAAGCCCTACTTTCTGGCACATGCAGTCGTCGTGTATACCGACCAACCGATCAAGCGGCCCCTTACCACCATGGAGTCCTCCGGACGAATGATCAAATGGGCCATAGAAATGCAGAGTCTCGAAGTTACTTTCGAGCCTAGAAAAGCAGTGAAGGGGCAAGCCTTTGCTGACTTTATTGTAGAGATGACCCGTCCTCCTGACTCTCAAGTTCCAGACCAAGTCTGGAAGGTATATGTGGACGGAAGCTCTACTTCAAACGGTTGTGGAGCAGGCGTCGTA